ATTATGCAGCAAACATCGCTCAGATTAGTGGATACACAGGTTCACAGTAAAACTCATACTGATTTCATTCATAATAATGTAGGTGATATAATGATTACACTGGCCGGTAGTTCACACTTGTCATGCGGAATTAAATCCTTCCCAAAATGGTATAAACATACTGACCTGAAATAAATTTCAATGAAAAATATAGATACTAACTAAAACATTAAACTGAGAGGAAAACAATTTTCATAAAATGTTACACTGAGTTACAGAAAACCGAAACCTGCCTTTTTATCCCGATTTATCAGTAACATGTTGTTTTATCAAAATATTAGCACATCATTGAAAGTAGTATTTATTTTCTAGGTAAAAATCTCGTTTCTCTACATTTCAACTCAATGCACTTTTATGAAAAAATATTTCTCTATAAAATTATCTGTGTTTAAATTAGATGGGAAATTGTATAGAGGAAAAACTCAAGCATTCAGTAAAGAAAAGTATTATCTAACTTTAACGTAACTGATCGATAACTATTGGGAGAATTCCAGTTTTTGCATTAGTAGAATAAGACAAATCGTATACAGTTTAAACATAATCAATTAAAACTTATCCTAATCATACAGCCACTAGGTTTAAATTAAATTCATCAATATAATGTATGCGATATGATTATTAGTAATATAAAAAGTGAAGATTAATTTGTTGATCGTAGTAATGAATATTTTTATGTCAATATAACTATTAATAGAATACTCATGGTAGGTAAGCTATTAACTTTATTTAATGAAGAAATACTCATTCTTTTTCAAGGCAGCAGGGAATCGTCACAAATTTTTTTACAAACTCAACAAAAATAATATTGAATATTGATCAAGGTAAATCAAATCAAAAAAGCGATGAAAATATCACAAGAAACCATACAGAACAAATTTTTCGACCTAAAATCCATTTCTACATTATATAAATATAGCGATCAGAAGTAACAGCGAAGATATTAAATACTTTACAAGACTATTTACTGTTATGAATTCGTTTTTAATTAGTTGGAATTGAATAATAACAAGAAGCTTTCCATCTTTAAATTTTAAGTCATCTCCCCAAACCTCATATAGTGTTGAAAATGTTTCACAAACCATAGCAAGCAACGTAAACAAAAATGTCTCATTAAAACACTTTTAATTGTAAGTCAAAGAGTTGAATTCAAAAAAAAAATTGTTTTTGAAGGAATTATGAAATATCAAACTGTTGATTACTGGATTTGAAGTATTATTATTCTCAATAAAATACAATTTTCAACTATTGATAGACAATTAAAAAAAAAAACGTATGATGTTCAATATTCTCTATAACAGATATTTTTAATATGAATAAAAGAATAACCGAAATTACCGAGTATTCATTCCATGAACGGATAGAATTGTAAATAAAATAATATTAATCTGAAGAATATGTGATTAAATATAAACTAGTCAAAAGTAATTACTCTAATGTGTGATTATTCTGAGAAAACAATATGAATAGATAATCTATACATTTCATAGTTTTATATCCATCATAAATAATATTCATTAATAGTTAATTTGAATTTTAACTCACTTATAAAAGAACGGAACAAATATATGATAATTTAAGGATGAATCATATTACTCAATCGAGTCGGTCAATTTATTGATTCCACTAACTGCAGACACACACACTATAAATTATTGCTTAACCCTTAGATCGATTCATCCGTTTTTTAATTGATTGACCGAACGCTTAAAATGATATGTGTAATTTATCATTATCACTGAGCCTAATTGATCATATTTTCTAATATTGACTTAGTAGGAATTTCGAACTGTATTGCATCAAAATGCCGTGTAACTTTGGGAAATCAGCTAAAGATTATTGAAAAAAAGATAGAGTTCTTTATATGTGATTACTGTAATTTAGTAAAAAAAAACCCACTTAATTAGTAAATATTGAAATCTGAAAAAGATATTGAATGTAAAATAGGCAACCATCTTTGTAAATAATAACACTAAAGCGAATATAAACAAAATGCGTAAGCTGACGTTTCACATCAAATAATATTCATATATACGTATATCTTATCGGAAAATAATTATTTATCGTCTGACAAATATTTGATCGATACAATGTAACATAATATTGTTCATTCGTAAATATTTACGTATAAAATCGAATTACAAGAAACTATCGATTGATGTTTATAAATAGTTCTGAAATCAATATAGTTTGTAAACTACAAAGTGATCAATCCCTACAAACTGACTGTACTAAGAATTAAGGTCATTTATTTACCGATTTCTTATTTTGAGTTTTCCTAAGTTTCTAATGAGATGCCATGTAACAAGTGTAGTCAGTGGCGATTGGAGATGGTAGAGCAATATCACGAATCGAAAGAAATTAGAAGTACACACCACTAAATGGTGATTCATTGGTATGGAGATTAAACACTCAATGCAAGATCTGACTCATCAGGGTTGCGTACTCAGTGAGGTCACGATTATGAATCACTGAAAACGCCATACTAAGACAAAACAGCTGTCCAATATCCCTAGGTTTTCGGTTGTTGTATAACTTGATTTAGGGAGTGATACAAAGTGCCAATTCAGAAATATGATGACCAGTAAATCTGACTGTAACAGTAGTGTTTGTTTTATAGGTGATAACAAATTATACCTGTAATCTGTCAGAGACTTCTAGAGTATGAAATTTTAAATATTACATTGATGAAAAGTTATATAGCATTTTATTACTTCACTAGGTATTTAACGCTCACTGTATTTAAGGCTTCATTCAATTCATCAATTTTATATCGGTTAAAGAAACATAGAAAGTATATGCAAACATATACAGAAAAGGAATAGTGAAACGTATCTGTTTTCAAACAATACACTGAAGTTAAGTGAAGTCTACAATTCAGCAAATAATTGTGTAGAGGCGATTTGCCCTCAACTGTCCAGCTGTTTTAATTTTTATCAGCCAGTCATAAGTAACGTAGAACCGGGCAGATACGTACATTGTTTCAGGATGTCATACTTCATCATCACAGAAAGATGTATTTACTGGATATGCTCCACTGTAAGTGATTCTTAATCATGTCATGGAACTATGGGTGACGTTAACCACAGAGACGTCAACCAAATAGTATAAATCTAATCCCATGTCCTGCACCAGCTGTCAATCATTTTATGGATTGGTATTTAGGTGCCCCTAGATTTCTTATCAACCGCCTTAGTTGATAAATATCCACTGCCTCATCAGCAGATTTACCATGTTCTCCTAGTAACATGTGTGTGACTACAGATGGCTCCAACTTCTGAACCTATCTGTAACAGCGTTATACAGTACCATGTTTTCTAGTTGATAGTACTATTGATCTTATTCTGTGAAACTACCAGGAATTATTCACCCGACAGTTCATATTTCTACGTAAGTTTGAAATTTAAAAATAAGTTATTCTTTATTCCAAATACATTCAGACAAATAGAAGAAATATAACTTGTAGCATTCGTTTGTTACCTACTCACATTTTCACATTTCGTTTAACCTTAAGTATATTATTATACTCAATTCTTTCTAATTAGTTGACCTTAAATTGAGTTTAACAGTATACATGTTTATCATTCAATGTTCAATGTAATAATAAAACAGCACAGTTATCTATCTTTTATTTCAGCCTTAAAATAGGTGAGAACTCAAGTTAACTCAATAAATTTAAGTTTTTTTTCTTTTTTTTTCTTTCTCTCAGACACAGTAAAGTAACATTTTTGGTGTGAAGTCAAGAAGTTTTAAAAGCACTTAGTCATTTAGGATTTACTAACAGTTTTGAATAGACACCTTGATCGATAAAAGTGAAATGACATTACATGCAGATTACACACAAAAAATAATATACTTCAAATGAAACATATGATATAGATGCAGTCATTATACATGAATGATCTACATAATCTAACAACTCATTTCATTATAGTTCTTTTGATTTTGTTCAGAAAACTTCAATGGAATAATATTTTCAATGTTATGCTTATTTTGCTCCAGCAAATGTGAACTTGGTCAATATTTTTTTTCAGTTTGTGTACATGCGTACGGGTGTGTGAATGAATATGTAGCTGTTTTCACTGTCTCAATGAAATGTTCTGAGAGTGATATGTGTATAGATTATTGTATATGCGTGACAATGTTAGCAATAAATATTTCATATCAATCCAGACAGCCAGTTTTGAGAATGTATAAACAATATATTGTTGATCATTGCGCGTCATATAACTATCGTGTTAATATGAGTAAAAAAATGAATCCTGTACCACTGTAATATGTGCTTGAGTAATTTGAACATTTTTATGATTACACAATATATTTCTGTTTAAGTTAACATTCTTTTAGTCAACATTTAAATCACACATACATATGTGAAACTAATAAAAGCTTTTTTTTTTCAATGGTTATAGTTCATCTTTTGTTAGATGTTAGTTAGTAGTTTTAAACAACCATGTAATCCGATGTAAATTGTTATGGTTTCAGTTAATGTTGTTTTATCCAACTAGATTATTTATCATGATAATGTGTGATTCATATGAATAAAAAAACAACCAATAGAAATGAATACCTGACTATCAGTTCACATGTACACTTAGCAATAGTGTTATATTTCAATAAATTGTCAAATTCAAGTTTTAATGATGAAATATATATATATATATAGAGAGAGAGAGAGCAAAACGTTTTTCATACTCTCTCTTATTGGGTGGAGGGTTTTATACGTACATTATGTACTTACTAGAAATTAAACTTTTCCACTTTACTCTCTTATCAGCTACTTTTTTTTCTAAAAATCTGGATTAAAATCATATTTCGAGAAAAGCACACATTAAATCAACAGAATCTCAATGATTTAAACAAATATTGAAGAATAAAGTAGGAAGAAAATCATGTACATTATTTTGTAGTTCATTGAGAATAATTCTTAACTATTTATTAAATATTTGAACTGTTACATATACCATTTATACATTATAATTAAATTATCAAAACTAAATTACAATGTCCAACACATTTATAACATACACAAATATGACTGAATTAAAAGAACGTGTTCTCTTAAATATCATTTTAGATTCATCTGTTCTACCAATTTGTTTCAGTGGACAATTAATTCATGGTTACGTTTGTCTAGAGACTAAAGATACTTTAAGTGTTCAAAGTAAGTAAAACTGTAAATTTTTATCATTTTGTTAAAAATATTTTGTGTAATGTCCATTCTTAGTAGAAATTTGTTTTGTCTAATAGGGTTGAGACAAAAACTAAACAAAATTATATCTAACAATGTTTCATTATATGATCGTAAGAATTTTTTTATCGAAATAACAATATTACGTTTCTGATGAGATTTGGTTAGGGAAATTTACAATTTTAAAATGTATCTGCAGGATATTAGTTATGTACATGTTTTTCAGTTAGGCTTCAAATCACTGCCTCTTTGTATGAATGATATTCATAATTCTAGAAACATCTATGACTTGTGCTCATTGATAATTCATATTTCTGTGTAACTGAACACTGTTTTTCATCCAGATTTGAACTGATTACTAAAATTTCGAGTGGCGCGAAAAATAGTTTAATAATTTCTTATTTACTAGACATGAATATCAAATAGTAAACAGAAACACTGTAATTACTTGCAGTTTATTTAAAAGTTTTCCCACTTTATATTTAGACTGTATTCAACATATCACTGATAACTACAGAAACGATGGACATAAAAGGATTAGTGCCCTTCTCCAAGTTTTCCATTGTGTACTGAGAAGATCATGCACATACTGGTAAAGACAAGTGTACATGGAGAAGTACTAATAAAGGTTAATTTTTACAAAGTGTAAAATGACAATTTAAAGTAAGGGCGAGAATATATTACATAATATAAAAAAGAATAAGGCACCATACCACTCAAGGTCTTAAAATGCATCTGCTCATTCAAATGTCTAACTGAACATTGAGATCATGAGTGACAGAAAGTGCCTTTATTGGTCTGTCTTATGATCAGACTGCAATGAATGTAAAAAGAAGAAAATCGTGCTTCATCATAGCGGAATGCATAATTGAAACTGGTCATCTGGTTTACCTTAAAAAAAGCTTATAAAAACCTCAACTAGAAGTAGTCAACGACGCAGTCTCAAGTTTAATCGGCAACTATGACCTACTTAATGCGATCAAAAACAATTAATTGTAACCTGGTTTAGGCAGGTTAAGGTCTAAAGTGATGTGACATTTTATTCTTCCAACAATATATCATTGTTGTCTATTTTATTTATAAATTATTACTTTTATTTAATTGTTATTGATTAGTTTTTGCACAAACGTGCCTTGGCAAGTATGTGTGTGATTAAATTATTCAAAATATCTAGTGTAAACATTTCATATTTTGTAACTAAACTCCATCTCATTTTACTGCCCCAAAAAAAAAAAAATTAACATTGATCGGTGAATGGTTTTAGGGCAACTCAACAATCTTCTAAACCCTATATCTTAGAAAAAACAGCTGATTGTTTCTTTAAGAAGAGAAACTGTCTGATCATTCGCAATCAGACTATGTGTCATCACGATCAAGTCTTACAATAGATTACTTCTCGGCGGATATTTGAAATTACATGGTATCGGTTTTATTTCTTTACTATCTGGCTCTTAGTTAGTATGCTGTACATGAATCGCAATTAGATATTTAACAAAACATACAGAAACCAAGTTTTAATCGCTGTGACTGTTGCCATTAGCAGATGGACGAACAAAATACCTGTTAAACAGTTAACATTTAACTAGTTAGATCATAAGTCCAAATTGAAATTAACAAGTTTAATAAAATGTAGTCAGAAATGTGCTTCTTTTTAATCTAGTTAACACAATCAGCTAACAAGTGCTGACTAAATAGCTGACTAGTTAACTGACTTCAATTATTTCATAACCTGACAATTAGTTTATTTTATCAGTGTACATTTCATACTAAATTTCTCAGTTAATAATATATTTAGTGTAAAATGATTGATAAAAGTTTGTAGACCTTCCAGTTATAGTTTCATAGTAAATTTGTATTTTATGAAAAATAAAATTCAATAATTTGCATATCTGAATTCCTGCTTATCCTGATTAGTTATTGATCAATGGTCAGCGTCATATGTTTGCAGTCGTTAGCGCTGATTAAACTACATGGATCAAGTTGAATCCGATGTCAAACAACTTTGATTAATGGCCATGCTGCAACTAGATTTTCATTAGCTCTGAGGAATATAACAAATATGATGTTCATAAATACTGTAATCAGTCAGTCTTAATGTTCCTGTCCTACAGGAGACCAGGCAAGATTTGAATAGTAACGCTTCAAACTGTGAAAGTGGATAGTTCAAGTTGGCTTCTACCAGGACTCATCAGTTCACAAAAGATTACAGGCAGCACTTACTAACAAGTCCCAATCAGAATAAAATCGATGTTCAAGGTTTTCTGTCAAGTACCTCTCATCATCTGACATAGATTTCTTACTTCTATTTTTCTCATGTACATTAATGTAGATAAATAAACTGTACTAATAGCCTAAGTTTCAAATGAACATATTTACGAGATTGGAAATACTAGAACTGCTTAGATGTACAATTATAAAACATTTGTATACTATACCAATCAGAAATCTTTCTTACACGGCGAAAGAGATTTCATAATCCCAGTATTAATTAAATTCTCGCTTTGTGTATTCTTATCTTTATACCATACACCAGTATATGTTTAGGTTTAAATGTTTTTGCTTTGATTGAAATTATGTTATCACCAATCCAATGTCTTCGTTTATATTACTGAATACAGTTTAGAATTTCTTTCACCCTATTAAATTGATTAGTGCGCCTATCAAGTGATTTCAACATTCAACAATTAGATCAATTATAATGAAAGAAATTTTTGATCACCCACCAATTTTAATCCTACAATATGTAGACAGTTCTTCTTTTAAAGCTTCTACAAATGGCATAGAATGAATCTATGACATATGATCCATTGGAACTAAACCAAACAATGTAATCTTACAACACTAAGATATTTTTCTCTTGTTGAACATGATAAACATTGGGAAATTACCGATAAATACAATGAAATACTATACTTTTAAATAAATCTCTACTGGATATTGAGTAATGTAAGCATATAGAAAACTAGACACATTTAGTAATAAACATTATTCTACGAATGTATTTACTAACTTCAATCCACTATGTTCATTTGAAATCATTTAAAATATGTATTTACTTGTTAATTATTATTTCAGTTTTACAAATAGAACTACTTGGAAGAGGAGTTGTTGTTGCACCACAAACTAAGATATTCTCTTCAAAGAATTTCATAAAAGGTTGGACAAAAGAGAGAAAAGCTCTACAACGAAATTTTTCATCTTATCAAGGCGTAGGTTGCGTTATATCCGGTATACATGGACCAGTAGATCCTGAAATACTACAAACACGTCTAAAATGTAAATCGATGAAAGGATTCGATAAACTTATACCAGCATTTCAAACGGTTAACGAGGAAATCTACTGTTTCATGAATTCAACTTTAATCGGAAGAGGTATGTCCTATTGCGTTTATGATCTTATAAATCTTCCCTTCCACTTCTGTATATCATGCTTAAGCTGACCCAGTTTGTGCGACGGTGGTAATAAGAAGGCAAATACGGTTTCGTGCATGAATATTTATTGCGTCACATACTCTATCATTCGCCAAACTAGAGGCAAGTCGTGGGCCACTAATAGATCCACTATTCTTGAAAATGATAAACATAAACTTCGTAGATAAATACAATAAATAATGTTACAAAACAGATATTTTATGACTAAACTAAATATATATCACTGTGCGGATTGTCACTGAACAGTCGCTGCAATTGATGGATTATTACTAGTGATGAAGAGTAAACATGCTAAAAAGAACTGGACAAAATTCATGCCATATAGAATGAATAACGGGATAACCTTAACCCTTCATATTTATAATTTAAGCATTGTACTTGTTAAATGAGTAAGGCTTTGAAGTGAAAGGTCATCCACTTGAGTTTCAGCATGAATATCAACCCTCAGATGGTGGTTTATCAAATAGATGAGTCACAAGTAGGACTGAAATGTGGGTTCTGGATTCCATTGTTAGGTTATAATCCATATATATTATAAACAGAGATAAATAACTAATAAATTTTTTCTGATTCAGTCATACATTTTGTCTGCCATTTTAGTAATCGATTTTGAATTACATCACATTTCAAAAATGTTTATTTCACTGTGCAATAAACAAATGTATAACATGTATATACACAAACTGATAATATTTTTAACATATATATATATATATATATATATATATATATATATATATATATAATGATTTCATACAATTTATTCCCTTAATGAATTCGAATGAAACCAAAACTGCAGATAAGGTAGAATAGGCATTCATTATATTTTGTTGTACCTCATCAGCTGCATACAACCGTATTTACACCAAAATCCGTTATTATTATTATTATTTCTAGATTATAAGCATCTGAAAAGAATCTATAAAATAAATAAATTTTTCTTATTCTGATAATCTGGTCGATTCGATCAGTTGAAAGTTAACTTTACCACGTGAATGTTGAATAGAATACAACGTATCCAATAAAAACATGTTGATACTTGTTTAGTGTATGTACCGTTTTTCCTCTTAGTCTTGATGAATAGCGCACAGAGAATCTAATTATCGCTCACAAATTCTGTGTAATTTGAAAACAAACGAAAAAGAATTCTCGTGTTTGTAAACCTATCTTATGAAATTTTGATACAAATTTCAGTCATGCAAATTTTGTAAGCCTTTATTTCTTAAAGTCAACAACCGAAGGATGAACACATGTGCAGCTCAATAATTTTTACTAATAACATATTTACATAATATGCTTTAAAAAACAGTACTTGGTAGAATAATTTATTTGTCTTTTGAGAAAATGTCTGTTGAATGTTAAAACAAATATTATCCGATACATAAGGTTGAATTCCACTGGTTACCGCTTCTCCCTAGAACTCCAGAAATTTCCTCATGAAGCTAGTCACTAGTAGAAATATAATAATTGTCAGTTATCCACCGAAGATGATGGTCGAACACTGTCATAGATTGATTCAAGTTCGAGGATAGGCGTTCGCGCGCAACAATGAAGGTGCTGTGTCTGACTTCAGCTTGCATGCGTCGTGGATGAGCGCCGCTGATGAGTCGCATACTTGGCCAAAAAGGTCGTCCAGTGCTTCTAGGTTTCTCAAAGTGGTCTAACAATGATTAGAAATTATATCATTATCACTCATGGTACGTTGACAGAATTTATTTTGATTATTAATCTCACAATTTCATTCTATATAAAATTTGGATAATGTGATGAGATGATAACCTTCGACTTCTCATCACAAAATTAAAATTGATCAAAGGGATTAACTGTTTTCTAAATTTTACTTATAAACTTATTCAAGTGAACACCTTAATATTAGTTATCCGAACGTCCATGATCTATATTAAAAACAATCCTAAATTCACATGCTGTAATTGAACATGATTTATTTTACCTCAAAACTGGCAACTTTTGGGATTATTGATTTAGATACGCTTATTAATAACTAGATTTGATATAGATTCCTGTAGTTATAGCATGAACCTTTGATTGAGTAAAACTTGTATAACCTATGAAATTGGGCACACGTGGAACATTCGACTCCTGTTTAGTGATATAAAGATATTTTGCTTATTACAATATTTGAGGTTTCTCTGCTTTCGATGTATTGTGATGAACTGCTCAATATATTTTACACTCGCCTTTTCATAATTTCTGTTTAGAAATCATGCACAAACATACACACACTCAGTGATATATTGTTTTATTGATGTGTTTTTATAGACCAGTTCTATTCTCATACTAATCCACATTATAAATGTCGAAACGAAATGGTTAGGTTAAGTTAAACTTCTTTTCATCTAAATCATATCACATTACAAAAAAATTATTTATACATTTCTTCAAAGTTGTGAATAATTATCTCTAAATCAAAAATTTCTATTTTGTTTATCGCTCAAATAAAACAATGTTAAATGCTAATTATGAAGAAAAGAAATGAATAAATAGAGCTTTCTCTTTTTCTCCACTGTTTAAAATAAGTAGTATATAATTAATTATTTAACGTCAATTTGTGTTCTATTTTATGGAACACACATCTAGTCATCAAAAGTTTGGTAAGTTTTCCGAATTTCTTTCTCAGTGTCACATACAATGAATAGATAGCACGATAACTTTTTATATGTATACTGATTAACACAGTGAAAGATGAAATAAAATTTAGATAGAAAGATCATATTCATGATAATGACTCATTTCAAGTTTGAAATAAGTTAGATTAATCGATTTGTGTGTTGTGACATACGGAAGTCACATAATGGTGATAAAAAAAACATTCAGTACGGATGAGCATAATTTGGTTTATTTTCTCATTCTAGTTTATTTTAATGATATGCATAAACAAAAATATTATTTAGTCGAAACATAAATGAGCATAGACTTGGAATCTTAGACTTATTTTTTATTTTTTATTATAAAGTCTAATAACTAATAAATCTGTCTGTAACATGTCCACACTGACTGATTTGCCGACTGTTCAAAATTAAATTACTTTTCAATTCGAAATTGACTTCAAGAATGTTTCTGAGAAGGTCATTAGTGTTCGAAGAATCATTTTTCTTAAAGACTGAATATTGAAAGGCTGTCTAGCTACTCCATAGTGTTAGTCAGTCATCATCAACGTAGAATCTGGGACTGATGTCCGTTGGCGCAAGCTGCTACACCAAACTAGCATGATGAGATGAACATTATACGAGATGAATAGCAAACGAGATCAGAATAATTTAGCAACACTGATAGTAAGGAAGAGTGAACATTGAGAACATCGTTTAAGAAAGCAGAGTGGTAAAGCAATTTTGGAACTTAAGATGGATCAGAAAGGTGAAGAGGAAATGCATCTGTGTTGTTGTTGAGCCACGTCATCTAAACATGTATTCTACCAACATCGTTACAGCCAGTAGTCAACGACTTTATGGACTGCTACCATGTTTTGACTTAGCACCTTCGAACATCCTTCAGACCTAATTTTACATGAGCTAACTTAAGTTTAGTTCTCATCATTGATTTTATGTGAATTTTTTAAAATAAAGTTTAGTATAAGTGCTGTAAAGTTCCCTGAAAATAACGAATCTTTAAATTTGCACAAAGTACTTCATGTCTGTTAATTAAAAGTAGAAAAGTAGAAGAAGTTATTAGTAAAACTCGAAGGAAACATTTCTAAAATATAAAATTGACTTTTTACAATTAATAATCTATAACCTCTCATGAATGTCACTTATCACTTTCCAAAGAACAAATAATTTTATCGTCACTAAAGTGATTACACACTTGTATTTGTACGTTATTGTTGGTAAGTCATAGAAGGATGTATTCACAGCTAATATCCTATTTCTTTGGAAAGAACGTTTGAAATGAGTTTATGTCTGTTTAGGATGGTTTAAGTTTTTATCACAGACGATCGATAGTGAGACAATATTGATGAAATTCCTAAACGGTTATCGAGCGAAGTAACTCAGTAATAAATTTTCAATCTTTAAGGTATTTGTAACTGCTTAATATAAATTTTCCCTGATACGTTGCTTGTAAACAACCGAAAGTATCTTAAGTGGATAGTCTTATTAAAGTATTTAATTTATTTATAAGTTACTGATTCAAGACTTTATTAGGAGTTTATAAATAAACATCCCTAAATATAAATCGTTTATATTACCAGTTCAATCTGAAGTCATATTACATTATGAACTAATAGAATTTCAAATAAGAAGCCATAATCGGTGAATTTGAATAATCTCAACAGTCAGACACTTCCTAAAATCAACAGTCGACTGAATTAGGAAGTGTCCACAGTTACACTTCATTTTGAAGGCGTGGTTTTAAATGTGTCTGCAGAGATAACCGATGGTTCTGAATTAGCTCCTTTATGCTAACTAATAATCTAACTAAAGTGTCTTCAGTCTTCTCCAAAATAAACAATAATTTTCCCTGTAAATGACTTATAATAGTTAATGATTGAATTCGATTAAAAGTTATGTAGATCTGAATGTTCAGTAGCAAGTTAGAGGTACTCGCAAGAACGAAACAGTGAAGTGATGGAGAGCCTAATTCTTCAAGTCTTTTTTTTAGTTCATTAAGAAGCTTTACTTGTCATTTTGGACAATACTATAATTATAAGGTTGTTGGCACTCGAACTATTTTCGTTTTCGTTCTTAACTTTTGAAATTATCATAAAAACTCCCTGACAGTAATAAATATTCTTAATGATCTTTTATTAAAATATTCAATGCTACACCACATTGTTCATATAGTAAATAGGCTATGATAGTAACAATTGAAAAATGTGCACTAAGTAAGATTTGTAATGGAAAATAGTGAATAACACTGTAGAAACTTTTTAAATAAAATTTAACTGCAATGAATAATTAACTGTTCTTAATGATTTTAGAAAAATGATAACTGAGTTGTTGGACATATTTTTCTGATTGCCTTTTTAATGGAAAAAAACAATAAGATTAGTTTAATGTTAAATTAAGCTTAGGGAAATGCTACTAAAGTAGCTTATGAGTAATATATACATGTGAATAAAAGTTTACTTCTCTACCAAGTGAAAATACAGTATATTTGTTGAAAGGAAAATATTATGATTTTATAATCCCATTTGATTTTAAATGTACAGTGATTTAACTTCAAACGATTTTTGATTCGATTATTTATTTTGATATCTGACTGGTGTTTATGTCTAATTCATTTAACTAAAAATATAACTGTCTACTACATTTAATAAAAAAAAACTAACCACTTTCCAATGGAATTGACACTTGTTTAGATAGAAAAACTCGGTAATGCTTTATCGATCATTTAAAGTAGCATACATTATTGATATTTAAAAAAAAACAACCACCTAAGTAAGTGCTGTTTTTCGAAACCAACATATATAAATTATATTTGTGATTGATTAATTTACGCTCAACTAGAACGTTGTAACTAAAACACATATGAATGTTCCCACACAAATCCACTTGTGGATATTTTATATTTGTTACGCTCGTCTCTAGGTATGCTTAAACTATTACGGGTTCACCTTAGTCGAATAACGAGAACAAAACAATGAACCAGCGTCCAGGTAGGCTACTGTGATCCGTTGACCCAACTGTACCAGCAAGAAGTCTTGATATAGCGTAGAAAGTGTATTCTACAAACACCCAGCCAGCACACAATCAAAGTAAGCACTCAAATTGCGTTTATTTATACCCCAAAGAAACGTCCTTGGGACAGTCACAAAAGTAGCACACTAAAATGACACAGTAACCAATCACAGCCAAGGATTTCTCTGGTGGGAAATGTGATCTCAAGGTCAACTGATCGGTCCATGAAATAAATCGAAAATAAAGATATTTATCAAGTGAGTTCCGGGGATCTAACATCCCCAACAATATCAAAGGCTAACGTTAAGTGAATTACTATTAAAATCCATTTGCCAGTCGAAACCAATGAAACGTTCTACTCAAAAACCACATACAAGATTAAGCATATGATCCGCTAATTTCTTCAAAATACTAAGAATACAGAACTACTCAGTCAACTCAGTGAATGGTTGAATGGAATGTGTCCAATGCCGGCATGTGATAAAAATCTATCTTGATTTTAAATTAATTTTTATGAACCGCCTATCTAAAAAAAATAGATTTCATGTTACTTCCCAATCCGACCTCTTCCTAAAATGAAACTGAAACAAATAGCATAGTAGAAGCAAGCTGTTGATTTTAAATATGTTTAAGCAGCAATGTGTCATTGAAAAGAAAAGAAGCCAATTCAGTGAAGAAAATTTCATTTTCGACCATTTCAATTATTTAAACTGTACAGTAGTATTTAAAGATAATTTGATTTGGTAAAACAGTAGTGGATAGTAAAATTATTGGAACATTTAATTGTTTAATTCTCACTAACTATCATGTGAACAATGGTCTTCATCTGAGTAATTTTCAATAGCCAACGATGACATAATTTACTTTAATTCTCTGATTTTCATAAACGATTTACCATGTGTCACCATTTCGATATCATTCTTAATTGTCCAACACCATTTTAATTTATGATTTAAGCAAATAAAGTTAGCTTAGGTAAATAGAATTGTCAAAATGAAAACTTTCTTCACTGAATTGTCTTGTTTTTTTCCAATGAATTAATTAAAAATTTGCCAATGAACTCTTGAGCAGTAAGCTGATTTTAAGCGTCCAATCAATGCTAATTACCACTTAATGATCAAGCATTGTAAACACTATGTGAAAGAGATTCAGGAAGTTTATTCATTTATTTGATTTACCGAGTATTGAAGTAAAACAATGATTTCTGACTGGATTGTTTAGAATATTTAGTTTCTATAGGTCATTCGTTGTTATTAATGGATGATAGTGAACGACAGACATTTCCGATTTATCTCCTTATCGCCATCTATCATTGATGAACATCTTTAACCCTGAAGTTTATCCCTTTTTCTTATACTATCATCACCAATTTCATCCTAGTTTTACTAAAATAGATGTTACTCCTGAATTATTGGGTCAATGAATACGCTATATACAAATATAAACAGCCACTTCCTTAGCAGTGAACAAAATCTTTAATAAAAAAAATGTTTATCTGTGTGCTTTCCTTTAATTAACTATAGGTATCCCTGGAAGTTGTGAACTTGTTTTCACTGGTAAACGATACTATCCTTTTGAATTTGAATTACCTTCAGCTTGCCCATGTTCATTTGTTGGTTCTAGAGGTAGTATTGAATACAGGTTACGAGTTAATCTATTACTTACGAATGGTGAACAATTATGTATGGATAAAGGATTAAAAGTTCTGCGTAAAACAATCATTAACGAAGTGACGGTAAAATAATGCATTATTAAAATATTATACTTTATATATGAATGAAAATTATATTAGGGTTAAATGACTATTTTTTTTAAAAAAAAAAGTGGTTTTTAGTATAAAGCATTTCATATTTCGAATCTTTATTTGTCAATAAACTGTTAATTTTACCTTGCATTCGTGAATGTATCAGTGAGAAACCTAGAAGAAGCTAATCGCAGGATTCGAACCCAGGATCGGCAATCCTCCGCGCGGCCACTGGGTGGGAATCCAACAGTGTTAATGTCTGATTATGATCCATCTGCGGATTCTACATGACCTCACCTATGTGTCTTGGATAGTTACTGCCGACATCCGACAGGGTTGAACTCCACTGATCACGTCTTTTCATTAGAACGCTGAGACTTTACTCACTAATCTAGGCACTAGTGAGCACAGTGTTCATATACTCAATCAATAAACTTTCTTGTATCAATAGCTCTTACATAATGCATCAGTAATCAACATTAAAATTTCTCAAGTGTTCAATTTCGAGAGAGCTATTTAGTATATAATCAAATGTTCACAATTTATCTTTATGGTCTGAACTTCGAATTAATTTTAACTAGGCTAGCATTGAAATCCAAAATCACTGGGCAGATGTTTCTCCCTGGCATCGGAATCCTCAGCAGTGGTGGAGAAAACTTGTAGCTCAGGTAGATGATTGTGGTGGTGTTTTGTTCTCTGAGCTGGTTGTTTTGGTTGTGTACATTCACGACAATCACAAATTAAGCATTACATGTACTTTTTATGTTTGTAAATATATACTAATACAGTTGAATACAAATGCAATTTCCAAACAACATTTGTTTAATACTGTAATCATTTGAATTGTCACTGACTAAAAAATAACAGATAGATTAAAGTAGTGGAGAAAATTTTTAGCTCAGGTTAATGACTGTGGTGAAGTTTCGTTCCCTGAGGCGGATGTTTTGAATATGGATCTTTGATTGTTCTTCTGAACAACATCATCAGCACAAACGTCAGGTAGAAGTGAAGTATAACTCCACTCACTACCCGTAGCTTGTCCTGTTGACTTCGAACTTGATTGGTTATTAGTGACGATAAATCAGTAGTTGTCTGCATCTTCATTTTGACTGTATTTATCTGAAAAATTTCTTTAATTTGCTGCAATGAATGAATAACTTTCTGACTTTATATTTTTGTCTTCAATTTACAGGTGGTTCCAAGTACACTAGCTTGTCCTCCAATTACCAGAAATTACGTCAGTAGCTTTGATCAGTTCATATCATCTGGTAACAACACAGTAAAATGTACAACCTTATCAAGAACAAATTCAAGATTATCAAATTTACATAAAAATGAATTTGAAAATATTCTATATGAATACGATAACAGTAATCATAAGTTGACTGAGAAAAATTCACTGTTAGATTCTACTTGTACAAATGAATACATCCCAGATCGTTTATCGTTTTTAGGTCAGAGTGCCCACTCTAACACTGATTTAGATGATACAACTAAATTAACTAAATATTCATCGAGTTTTTGTTTAGATGATTCACATCAAAGTAATCCATATTTAAATTCTATGCAATCAACAGACAATAAGAACCAAACTCAAAACGATGAAAATAATCGAATTCACCAAAGTATGCAATCAATGAGTAAACTTCATTTCAATCGTACAAACAAAATGAAAAAAGGTTTCTATAAATCACCAAGTAAAACAACATTAACTGTACAACGATGTAGTGATAATCCATATCCATTACCGTCTACGTGGATTTCTCAATCGTATGGTTCAGTTTATGCAACATATCCACGTACATGTCTTGGCGCACAAACAGGTTATCCAATTTCGTGCAGATTAACTGTCAGTCAACGTCAACTTAATCCAGGCAATCGATTGACCGCATGTTTAAGTTTACTTGTGGAAGATCCTTTCGCACTCCTACTAACTCCATCATTGAACGGTTTGCCTAATGATTTGAACTGGTGTGCAAAATTTAAAGCAAATATCAGTTCATGTAGAAAAAATTTATGGAGTCCTTTAGCAAGGGCATTTGTTTCATATTATTTAGAAGATTGTATACGACAAAAGCTTCGTTACGAGAATCCACGACGTAATAGTGCATGGTGGTCAGGATTTCTCAAAAAACCACACAGAATATTTTTAGTTTTACGCCAGGTATGTAACATTGATAAATGAAAACTGCGTATTCTCTAAGTTTGTGTTATAAACAGTTATAAACAAATATCTGATACAGGAAATTGTAATTCATTATCAACTAAAAGCTGTAGTAAATAATTCATGTATGAATTATCTAATCAGTTATTATATCGGTTTTGTTGATGTTCAGTTTAGAAGAATAATTCTGCTAAATTTAAAACTGATCAACCACTTGTTGACTGGTCATTGTTATTAATTCCACTGTCTAATGTTTTGATAAACATTGTCGACTAATGATGACAGTGTAACCAAATTTCATGCAGAATAACGACGTAATTCACCTTATTAGTTACTGGATAAACATGACCTCTACAAAGAAAACTTAGTGATTTTACTTCAATTATTCTCTGTTAGAAAAATATATTTGCATCCTTATTGTAATCTTGGATAATCAGACAAGTATTTTAAATTTTTTTACCGTCCTACCATTCATAAAAAACATATCAGAGCGTATAGCATGACTACTAAAAGCGTTTGGAATAAGTGTGGCACACAAAACAACAGAATCACTTCAACCAATCCTATGTAAACTAAAGGACCAAATGACCAAAGGAAGAATAACCAAATATCTCATCTACAAAATAAATTGCTCAGACTGTGAAAAACACTACATAGGATAAAGTGGACGGCCTCTTCAGCTTCGTTTACAAGAACACCAATCAGCAGTCAAACGTCAAAACAATTCTTCGCTTATATCAACACACAACAACAATGATGGATATACACTCTATTGGAACAATGTCGAAGTACTGGATAGGGGGAGGACAAAGAACACTAGAGAATTTTTAGAAGCTTGGCACTCAGGTCAATCAGAAATCAACAAACACCTCGACAATGACCCAATTTATCAACCAATCGGAAAAACCACAGGCGACATAAGAAACAGATCAAAAGGGAGATAAAATCAAAAGAAAGGTGCAAACAACGACAGACTTAAGGTCAACAGAAACCAATCAAGATCGAGGTTAACAGGACAGGCTACGGGTTAAACGTGTAGAAATTCGAATGCTTCACTTCCATCTGAAGTTGGTGCTGACGATGTTGTTCAGATGAACAATGAAAGCTTCACAACCAAAACATCCAGCTCTGAGAACGAAACACCACCACAGTTTTTTACAATGCTACATTTTAGATATAAAGTTCTTACAGATTAATGAAATCGAATTTCATTCTTTGATGATAACGGTTAACGAATTATTAAAGACTAACGAGAACTAAACTATTTTGTCTTAGTGTTAATCTCTTCATTATTGTGCAAGCATTGGTTCACCAAGGTTATTTTCATGATAAGCTTACACTTGAACTATTAACTATCAATTGAAGCTTTATCACCACGAAATCGTTGCCGATCGATTATTCACTTATTAATCCATTTTTATGATCGATAATAACTTAGTTGTGAGCAAATTATCGGTGGTATGTTATGGTCATGAATTTAAAATATATCAATTTTTGGATTTTTTGTCATAAGTATTAAAAGTTTATTTGCTTATTGAATTTGTCTTCTGACTGGGCTAGTAAAGATAAAACGAGTCAACAGGTTCATGTTCATTGTCGGCATTAAGTAATATTATTGGTTACGAAGGAGACCACTGAACTGCTAGTCAGTAGATTCTATGTTGCCTATGTAAACATAGGCTAATAATAAGTAATAAAACATTTTGCGTAGACATTCGATTCTTTAGAGTAATTTCAGACTAAGCAATATACAAGATACGGTTTCTCAATGAGTATCCCAAAAGTTAATCCAAGCTTAATCGATTCAACTGACAAAAAGTGGTCCAAAACAGGTTCTTTCAGCAGGTCTTTTATTAAAGTACAAATCTTAAAACTTGTATTGTTTTCCCAGTTTGATGAATTGAGTTAGACGAAGATTATAATGCAATTATAAATATTTGAAAACCTACGTACATTTTTAATGTACATCTTAACAAACGACAACTCTTAAGCTTCAACTGAAAATTACTATCGACTTCATGATCTCTGAATCCAGTCAATAAATGTTTTACAAGTATACAATGTAGCCAGTGTCTTTTCTGACTCAGCAGCTGAGTGAATAGTATGAAAATGTTTGAAACTAACAGAACTGAGTAAGATTTCCCGAGTGTATATGAACTCTGGAATGAAGGAACATCCAGTTGACAAGTCCTAATAGGACGAAAAGTAAATCATGGATTCCACTACGAGACACTATCAATCTCTGCTTATAATGGTTAAGACTTAATGGTACTAGCGGGGCAATCTGCAAAGAATATAGATCTACCAAAAGAGACCGACTTATTGCAAATCTATAAATATCAGTGTGAAGATTTAAATATTCCAAACAAAAGAACATAATTGTTTCTTCTATTTTTTCTAGGTAATATCTTATCGAGACTGGACTCATCATGTTATTGCCCAAGAAGAAAGAGATGTTTATAAAGGAGAAATGAAAAAACGTCCTACATCTGAAAAACATTTATTACGAGTTGTATTAGAGCATACATTTCATATTCCTTCATTACCTCCGACAGGTTTAGAAGGTTCTTCATGTATAGATATTGCATATAGTCTAGGATTGGTTAGTTTCAAACTAAAGAAACTAAAACATCCATTGAATTTTACTCAATGGATTTTAGAGAATGATGTCTCTCCAGTTATACCAGATAGATTCACGGAATTCGTTTATATGCATGATATATGTAGAAGTAGCACTAATACATATGAATTAATGTTGAAAAAACCTCAAATTATTACATTCCAACAATGCAAGCGCGGTAAAGAGAAAGAGGTTAAACGTTTCGCTCGTATTCATCGTGATCTTTCACTGCCTATTTCGATTATTATTGGAACAACCGACCGACAAATTGGGTCTCACAATCTAACGGAATCCCAAGAAACTGTATGTAAGTTGTAATTATTTTCGATGAATAAACTTTTTGTCATTCCAGTCTACTTCACTGAAAACTGTATGATATGTAGCTGCTTCAGCATGGGCTGAAGATGCAAGCTATGTTCTCCTCCACTTACTTACATACTTACTACTCCTGTTACCCCTAATGGAGCATAGGCCACTGACCAATATGTTCTACTCTACTAGTTGTGGCTTATTAATGACACCGATAAGCAAAAGGGAAGAGTTTGATTGTTAGCTCTTTGAATAATCATAAGTAATATCACAAACTTTTTGAACTTTATATTTGACATATAACTGGAGACAGATGGTGGGTAACAACGAAATCCAAGATTCTTGTTTCATCTTGTTTGTTAATCATCAGTTGGATGTATCTGCGTCCCATAAATGATGTTCGCTCTAGGACTGATCAATTACAGCGTCAAACAATAATGGGAAGATTTAAATTAATAAATTAAATGAATAATATATGTATGCAATTCAAGTCAACACATATGAAAACACAAACATTCCATTATACAATCCGAAAATAACTTAAACGTCGAGAAATTTGCCAGTGGAAAACGTTTTGACCGTACAGTCGTTTATCATCAAATTCTCAGTGAATTGAAAGTTATATCTTTATCTTGTTTTCTTATTTCTTTTTGATAAACTATATTCCTTCTAAAATATCTCAATAATCACACTTAACTTGGAATTATGTACCTATGTTTTCCTGACAAAAAATATAAGTTAATCCACTTACATCAACAACTATGCAAAATAAAGCTCCTCCTACATATGAAATATAATATGATATATGTTGATAAATTTCAATATAGTAAACTTCTACATTTATTTACCAATATATGACATTGGTAATACTGACTGTCATAAAAAAACATTGTTAGGATTGATGAGAATTTAGTAATAATTTTTGAAATATGATATTATAAATACTTGTTATTAGATGTAAATTGATATTTGTACATGTTAGAAAAGTTGCATCCCTAAGAAATTTGTATATTTTGTTAGCTAGTTAAAGCTTTCTGATTCTATTCGTGTTTGCAACACAACTTAATATTATTGGTAAAATTTAGATATTGCGAATATTTTTTCAATGTTTCATAAAAATATCTACTTATAAAGCAAAAATGAGAAAATACTTATTTCCAGTGGACATTTTTCATTACGAAATAAAACACTCAAGATTATAAGACTGACATTTTTTCTTAAAAAAAACTGTGAAAACAAGTTCATTTTCCAGTTAACACTGAACTACACTGATAATCTACAACTTTCAGGGAATCAATAGACAAACAGAAATGCATTTCTGGATTAGCGCAAAACTGTATCCAGTCACAGAACTATTGGATGAGTCACTAATTGTAATCTATTTTAGTCCTGACCGTTCCGAAACTCAAATTTACCACTCATTTTCAATATCTGATTAATCTTTTGATTGTTTAAAGTTAGGGTTAAAATATGGAACCTCAGTATATAATTCAGATAGAATGGTTCCATAACCAGAGTTCTTAGTTTATGTTAACATGTAGCTGCTACATTTGATGACAGGAAATACAAAGTCATGAGCAGTTATTTTATAGAACAAAAAATACATTCACAAACGTTTAATTTATATGTTATTCAACTGTATAACCAACAAAAATATTATGAAATTTTTTTAACCTGAATAACATTTCTCCTAACTCTCTGAAATGTTTAATGCTGATCGCGTATATGAAGCGATGGATAATTCAATTTCACATTGAATATGACTTATAGTTCAGTGTGTTTTATGCACTAACTTGGTAAATCACTTTACATTTTGTTTATAGGTCCGTTAATGGGTTCAGTATTTTTTATGCAGTGGCCAAACAGCTATCAAATTGGAAGTCTACCACCAATATATCAATATTCAACAGCTTATTCAGAAACTCATCAAGATGGTAGCATTCACAATGATTATGTAAGTCAACTATCAAATACAATCCAGACGCAATCACGAAATGAAACTGTTAAATTGAGGAAAAGCAATACCATAAGCTTCTCAGATAAAAAACAAATAATTTACGATGAAGATGACAGTGCTGAAAACTCTTTGCTTGCCAATAAAATGCATACTTCTTGTAAACTTTGTCAACCAGTAGAAAAGTGCAAACCGGAAGATAATAATTCAGAAATTATATTATTTCCAAGTCTCATTTAGAATGAAGTAAAGAAATCAGTTTTTGAATCCACTTATAATCATTCAAACAAATACTAGCAATAAAATTAATTAATATAAAAAAGTGATTCGAAGAAATGTTCATTCCTTCAAATAACATGAGCAATTCATGCTCTAAATTATTGTTTAAATCATATTTATGTACAGCACCTAAAAAAACGTCATTTATTTGTTGTTTTTATTTTTTAAAAATCTGTATCGTATACATGTTTACATTCAATCAACAAAGACTTCATTTCAATAATTCGTTAAACTTTCAGTTATTACTACGCGCTTTCCAACTTCTCGAAATATTTATTTTTAGTTGGTCGGTTAGCGAATCTTAGTCGACAGCCTATGCTGCGCGAGGGGTAACAGGTATAAGTAACTCAGCAATTATCCATAAACTTCAGCCCTTTTGATCCCCAAGAACGTTTCAGTAAATATCAAGAAGCAAGAATGTATTTCAAAAATATATTAGTAAATGTTAGTTGCTGCCGACATACATGTTTAAACAAGTTGTTTTCCGGGCCGTACATTTGGTCCACTACATGACAAATAGGTAAAGTTAGGAGTTTACACGCGCGGGTGTGGTGTTATCAACTTTTTTCGGAACTGTTATTTCACAGTTGTGGACAGCTTTCATGCCATTTTTATGTCACTTTTTGTAATGCTAACACCTCTTGTTACATCCCTTTAATCATAATCAGTAGTAGCTTGAAGCATCTGTTGTTCACTATCTGGGAGAATAATAACTTATTTTGAATTCTAGATATTTGTATCAGTCGAAACTTAAACATGTATAGTATGCTGTTGATCAAGTTAGAGATAGGGTATTGATAGATTCTTGGTTAAAATAGGCTCCGAAGAACATTTGAATATGATTTATCAACATAAAGGATGGTGTTAAACTTAGACCTACAGTAGATGCTTAGCAAATAGAGATGGATACAACTCTGGTTGATTACTTTTTAACACTATATAAGTTTATAGTATACAAACTGAACCAATCTTAATCATTATTATTGTCCTAATTTGCTTAGTGAATAGACATTTTATTGTTTAATTTATTTATTACGAAAAAATTATGTAAGTAATAATTAACGCTCATAGCCTTTAATTTTCGCTTTATAAACTCCGATATCAACCTTCTATAACATTGTAGTGAACGAGAACACAGGTGGGGCGTTTGTGACTGTTGATTTGTAGTTTTTTAGAACTACAATGGTTAGGCTGATTACCCATCTGTATGTTTAATGAACAGGAGCTTATGGTTTCTGTTGACCACTCTTAGGCTATAACCTTTATAATATTCCGTTTATCATCAATATACAGCTTCATCAATTGCCAGATATAATAGATTACATGAAAAATCAACGTACGAATTGAGGATAACTGTATTTAATGTTTACCGTGTACCCATTTACTGATCTAATGAGCTATTTAAGCATAAATATAACTTATATACGCACTATTTTAGATTTTCGGAAGCAGAGTACTGCATTAAAGAGCAGGCTGAGCTTCAGATCCTCCGTATGTTTGGACAGTTCGTCTTATTTTGCCATTAGTCATCTTAATATTTTTTTGCGGTGGTGTAACTTGCAAATACGATGTAAAATTTTTACGAAACTTGTAAATTGATGTGTTACTTCCGTTCACCACGTCTGTAAATAAACGTCCATTGCTTAATTAGTGTTTGATAATACTTGTAATTATTTTCGCAAAGCATGAACCTCTGCAGAGGTATGTCGTTATCCATCAGAATAAATACTTACTAATCATTGAAATTACTTTGCCTACTTACAAGTTTTCATAACGAAACAACAACTTACTTATCTCCAAATGTCATATGCAGTTATTTGTGAATGTAATAGGTAAGCTACCGCATAAAAATTCGAATAAGACAAAATTAAAAGTTATGCTGAACGTTACAAATTTCAACCGCTTACTGAATCCATGTTACGTTTCAGTGCGATCTTGGGTCCACGCTAAGTTCTTATTAGTTTACGATTTTCTAGCTTCCCTATGCCCTGCTCTAGAATCCAGAAGTCAGAACTAGCATCTATAATATTTGTGTCTCAGACAGACAGCTTATATACAAGCAGACATTCATGACAAAGTTCTGACTGTAATCATCTCCAATCTGCTAGTTTGGTGCAATCAGTGAATAGACTTTTTTGTCTTGGAAACTATACTCTCTTGTTACTATACAAAATATGTGTCATCTTTATTCAGTCAGGATCTGGCTTCAACTCAGACGATATGTGGTGCGCGCTACTTATAAGTAGTATATGACGTGAGTGCAAACGTAATGTCTGGTATCAGAAGATGGGGGAAGATCAAGAAAGGAAGAGTGGGAACACAATGGAATTTGTATGAAACGCATGAATAGTGAAATGTCAGACAATGGATTGATGATGGATTGAAGATTTGCAAATTAACGGTTACGTTATGGTTTTCCTATTTTACTGAGTAACTCTGTAATTTCTGTTAAATACAATTCGGTTGCCCTCAACTGTGTTTTCCTTCACTACAGATATATTGAATATTCTATAAAATAAATCATTCATCTAATTTCCGTAAAGCAATCTTAGGCGAACCCAGTGGTTTTGTCAGTGGATTTACTCCACATACTCACGTCAACAGATATATAATAAAAAGTGTGTTGTAGTTGGGATGGTCGCCAAGTAAAAACTCCCAAACGAACTTGAACCACAGAAAGTCAATTATAGAATAACGATATTTATTGATTGGAAGTCGCGTGATGTCAAAATAATATCACGTGTTCAGCCACACGACGAAATAACACGAAATGGTCAATAAAGCCACAGGGTTGGCGAGGTTGGCGAGATTGGCGCTTGAATTGTGACTTCAAGTAAAGATAAACAAAAGATGTACAATAAAACAGTTATTGTTACACATGTTCAATAATAAGTATTTATATGTCAGCAATTATGTTTTCTTCACAAAAATAGTTCCATTACAAGTGTAAGAGCGCAGAGGTAAGTGGCCAAAATAATGTGATGAGGTATGAATCAATATTTGCTTTCAGATAAAAATACGATTGACGTGTGATGAGTGAAGCAAGCAATTCACACACGAATTCAAACGAAACCAGTCAAGGTTATAAGCGTATAATTGAAAATTTCAAAAGACGTGTGAATACTGTCCCAAGAAAAGTGGGTTGATTAGTTTGTTCGAAGGCTAAGGCAGGCTATATGGATTCGACGTAGTAGCTCACATTATACATATATCTTCCATCGACTGACTGACGCAGTTAGGTGCTTTTCGTAGTGTGTGTCCTATCCACTTCCATAGCTTCTTCCTGGTTTCCCCCTTCACTGGAATCTGGTTTGTTCCTTCACATAGTAGGTTGTTGCTGATCGTGTCTGGTCAACGAATCCGAAGTATTTTGCGTAGACAACTGTTAATAGACACTTGTATCTTCTGGATGATGGCTTTGGTAGGTCTCCAAGCTTCCGCTCCATACAGTAGAACTGTCTTGGCATTTGTATTGAAAATCCTGATTTTGGTGTTGACTGATATTTGTTTGGAGTTCAAGATACTGTTCAATTGTAGAAATGCAGACCTAGCATTGCCGACCCAAGCCCTCATATGTGCATCGGATCCACCTTGGCTGTCAATGATGCTGCCATGATATGTAAAAGTTTTTACACCCTTCAACGTATCTCCATCAAGAGTGATTTGGTGGGCGCATGTTGTGTTGCATCGGAGAATCTCGCTTTTACCTTTATGCATTTTGAGATCTGCTGTTGAGGCTGCTGCTACACTGGTCGTCTTCTTCTACACTTATTGTCGCGTAAGCGATAGAAAAGCCAGGTTGTGGTGCGAGCTACTTATAAGTAGTATATGACGTGAGTGCAAACGTAATGTCTGGTATCAGAAGATGGGGGAAGATCAAGAAAGGAAGAGTGGGAACACAATGGAATTTGTATGAAACGCATGAATAGTGACAATGGATTGATGGTTTGCAACAGGAACAGTCCAGTTCGATATGATGAACTGATATTTTGCAAGTTACCGATTTACGTTATGGTTTTCCAATTTTACTGAGTAACTCTGTAATTTTCGTTAAATACAATTCGGTTGCGCCAGCTGTGTTCTCCCTCAATACAAAGTCATCTGCAAAGTCCAGATCATCTATCTGCATCCTGTTTGTACACAGTATTCCGTACTTCCCTCCAGATGTTGACATCTTCATAATCCAGTCGATGACCAGGAGAAGGAGAGAGGGTGAGAGTAGGCAACCTTGCCTGACACCGGTCTTCACCTCAAAAGAGTCTGTCAACCGACCTCCGTGCACGATTTTGCGGTATAATTCATCATAAGAATTGCTTATGATGTTGACTAACTTCTCAGGCACACCATAGTGTCGAAGAAGCCTCCATAGTGTTTTCCTATCCACGCTATCAAATGCTTTCTCGTAGTCGATGAAGTTGATGTAGAGTGGTGAGTTCCACTCAATTGATTGTTCCACAATGATCCGTAATGTAGCAATTTGGTCAGTACACGATCGATCCTTACGAAATCCAGTCTGTTGATCTGGAAGTTGGGCGTCTACGAAGTCCTTCATTCTGTTTAACAATACTCTGTTGAAGACTTTGCCTGGTATTGAAAGAAGAGTGATGCCTCTGTAGTTCTCATACTTGCTGAGATCGCCTTTCTTTGGTATTTTGATCAGGTATCCTTATTTCCAGTCTGATGGTACTTGTTCGTCATCCCATATCTTGTTGAACAGAATGTGAAGTATTTTCGCAGTTGCTTCCACATCTGCTTTCATTGCCTCTGCTGGAATGTTGTTTGGTCCTGCCGCTTTGCCGCTCTTGATTGGATTTTAGGTTGTTAGTAACATCTAAATCGACTGTTCAACGCACTAGCTTTTTATTATAAATAATAAACATAGATTTCATGCATGCAGCTTTTTGTTTACCTTTGAACCTTGCAGTTTACGCTTACATATAATGAAACACTACAAAAACGCAAGTATATCTCGTAGCCTTCAGCATGAAAATGGTGCGTATGTAAATCCTAGAAAGAAATAACATTATTTTCTTCTTACGTAGTGGAATTTATTAGACGTGTCTAAAAATTAAACTGGATATCCAAAAGCTTGGGAGGTTGTAGGGGTATTGTGACTTGTTTCTAGAAGGTGAAGTACCACAAAGAGAATAAAGGTTTAGACTTGCAGTGGAATGCTTTGGGTGAATATAATTAGTGAAATGGAAACATTTATTGTTGTCCACAATTGTAACAATGTTTTATTATACTACTTTTGTTAAACTGTACTTGCGCGCTTAACGCGTTGCGAACGTTGCTCGGTTGTCTTAGTGAATTTTATCTGTGGTAGTTTAAATGTCTCGAGATAGTTTCAATATCATGAGATCATCAATCAATACACCTCGTCTTCCAATCACAGCCTGACTTTTGACTTTTGGCCTTAATGAAATTTAATTTGGTTATCCCTCGAAAAGTAGTCCCAACTCGCTACAGACTAAAAAAGCAAGAAAAGTCAGTTTATGATTTCCGAAAGGCTTCTGCTGCTGCTACAGATTTCCTAGATGTGACAACCCTAAGTTAATAAAATATAATGGAGAACGAACTTATGGTAATTTAAATGCATAATTGTCCTAACAAACCTTTCGAAATACTTGGAACGAAATGGCGAATAACTGAAAAATACCTACGACATTACAGCATTTTTTAATTACACCCTCTAGATCGAAGTATTCGTTCGCAGATAAACATTAAAGTTTTGGATATTTAAAAAAGCATCAAGAAGCTCCTTACTGGAACATCTTGACCATAGTGCCTGTTTGATCATGTTTTGTAAAAAGGTGACAAATTTTGCCATATCAGTTTTCTTGGGTCTTTCCAGCCGATTGGCAGGCTGTCAGACATTATTTAAAACATTGATCCTAAAAGCTATCCATCTAACGAGCAAGTCACATATTGTGCTGAAACTGTTCACATAATTTTCTTGATTTAAAACTGCTTCTTCAATTTATAGTGAGTATATTTAGTTTTTAAATCTACTGTCAGCAAAAAATAGATTTGATTCAGTCATTCTTTTTGGGTTGCCGTTACATACCGATAGTTTGTCTTGCATGATTTTCGCCATCCAAACAATAAGAAATTTTATGGGTAAACTTTCGGAGAAGAAACATTCTGATAGTTGATAATTAATTAGCTTCAATCTAAGATACGCATCCAGCATTAACTGTCATCCGCAGTAATCCAAATATAGAGATTCTGTTATAAGATAGAGAATACTCTACAACTACCTCATAGATATTAGTATACATGTGATAGTTACACATTTTAGTTTTGAATTCCGTAATACGAATTCTTTGGAAAATGCAAGTTTCATAATTACTTTATATTTCATTCTCATTGTAGATATGAATGTAGATAGATATTTTTCACCATCAAACGTATATAGTTAAATTGAAAATTAGATGTTGTAAATTTTATTGATCTCCGAAGGGTTTGATTTTTCAGTTTCACTTAGCTACCTATAAAAAATGAACAATAAACATTATTTGTTAATCATTGTGGATGTGAGTATTCCAGCCACTAAAGGCCGCTTATAATTTCAGAGATTGATACACTTCATATGAGGTGTCCGAATAGTGATAACAAAGTGTGAATTACAAGTTAAACAAAAAATGAACGTCATAAGTATTTCACCACAAATAGACTTTCTAAATTCCTCCACATTCTGCTTAGAACGTGCGAAAATACAAGTGTTAAGCTTCAAAATGCTGATTCCTTACTATGTGGGTTATTGATAACAGAAGTTAAGGGAATAACTAAAACTCGATTCTAAAACGAAATACAGATCCTGACCCTAAGCAGTAAATTCTTACTTTAAAGATAAATTATGACTACCAATCGGAAGCCTAAATCAAAATTGGCACATCAAAAAATGATTCGTTTCGGTTCACATCTAGTCTTAAAGACATTTTGATAACTGAGAGCTGTGCAGAGTACTTGAGTAAGGAGCTGGGCTAGAGAATGACGATTCAGTAAGTTTATAGGATAAACCAAAGCCAAATAATAACAGTAATCCATAAAAACCAATGACAGAACGAAGACAATTCAATTATCACAGGTGAAATGTTTAAAACCTACTCACTTTTATTTATGTGACTGATGTAGCAAATCATTCTAACATTCGTCTATATCCGAAACTATATATTACTAAATGATTTGGTATAAAACCTTTCCCACTCACAGGATATTCTTCGATGCTACAGGGAGCAATATTCAGTCGTTTATTAATTTGAAACACCGCTATGGTGTTGTGAAAAGTCTGTTATTTGAATAGATTTAAGCTATTTAGGGAACCTGGAGGTCTCTGAGAAAGTTTACCTAAACCCAGAAACGTAGGTTACAACCAGCTGCATTCAACATGTTTTTTTTATTATTTAAACCTGCTTGTGCACATGATTGATTCCCACATCTCCGCACAGGTTCACTGAAAAATTCGTATTTACAGTTAGTATGCTTGAATGATTTGAACAGTAAGCAGATATTTCGAATGATTATCTCATTGACTGAAGTTACGAACACCTAGACCAAATCATCTCTCTGACGTAAAGAAAAAGACTGCTGATTTTCTCATTCAAATCCCTCTTACCATGGGAAGGATATCACTACTCTGACGTGTGTTCACACTGAGCAGGGTACGCTGAATTGAAGGCATAATCTGCATATTTCCATCGAAGAGAGAGATATGACCGAAATAGGTCATCTTCTTCAGAATTCTCTGAAGCTGAATAAACCATCAACACCTTTGTTAATATATCACGGTGAAAAGCATATTCACCAACGATACATGAAAAAAATTTAGAAAAAACTTCTTGCAAACTGACGAACTTGCAGAATAGATTAATAAAGGCGTTAATTTTATAACAAAGAGATGTTATAAAATAGTCTAGACTTCTTTGCTGGCAAAGATTTTAGTTCATTACGGCCTGAGTCTAGGAAGTACTGTAAAATCTAAAAATGAGTCGAATAAGAATAAAAAAGCTCTTAAATAAGCGGTCATCAACTACTAACGAAGGCCTTTGATCCTTAAGACTTGAAAATCACAAATCATCACTAGTTTCTTAATGTTGAAACCTTGTACTAGCCGCGTCTAGTTTACAGTGTGCGTTACTTCGGGCTTCTTATAACAAGGTGCTACGCTTCCCAGATTAACTTCGGTCATAATTAAGATTTCGTATGGTTATAATAAAAAATAAATTCATTTTTCGAAATAGGGCGAAGAGAATGTCCTATTTCGAGCGAACGTGTAAGTATTGTCTTGTGTAGATAAATTAATGAAAGATGGTGAGGAAAATGTTGATACGTATAAGCAGTGTTTTGTATTTACTGTGTGAAGGCTGAATACCTGAAAATTTTTTTAGAATAAGCTTCTCCATATTTAGTCCTGTCACAGTTTTGCAGCTCAATTAACTCCCTAATTGGGAAACGCACAATTTACCCAGACTTTATCAATCGAAAATTTAAATATTTCGTCATTTAAATCCACATAGAATTATCAGAAGGATTTTTCCTATGGTTTCCGTAATTTTCGACTTTGTTGTTTTCTTGGGTTATCAAGTATTCTCACACGAGGACGATTGTCTATTATTCAGACAAGGCTGTACAAAAACCATACACTAGTTAACTTTTGTATTTTAACTGAGAATTATGATTTGCAATTGAAGTACACTTACTAATGGTGCTGAAGAATAAATCTGAAGTTGTTTTTAACTGAAGTTTTATCACAATACGTTCTAGAAGTAACTATTGGTTAGTGAGATATCACAATAAATTAATATTGTGTTTTGTAACAAGTTATTGCATAGTTGTTTTTATCTTTTAGATATTTTGTTACCCGTTCGATTGTTCCCGCCGTTGTCGTTTGTTTCACTGGTTCCTTTATATCTACAGCTAGTTTGCAAAAAATATGCTTGTCCTCAATAGTTTTCTTCGGTCAATTAACACTCAGTCTATATCTTTACACTCCAGTAGGTTTATCAGTTCAACCTTCTATCTTTTTATCAGGTATCAGAAGATTATTTATTCAAGTTCAAGAAACTCCTAATCCCAACAGCTTGAAATATTTCCCTGGTAAACCTGTACTAGGCTCTGGCACTAGAGATTTCCCATCCTACACACAAACTGCGTCATCCCCTTTGGCCAGGTACAAATTATTTTAAATCATTAAAAACTTTAGACAGTTATTTCGAATCGACGGTGTTAAACGAGTCTTTTTCGGTCCTGATTTCATCACGATTACTAAGGTCAGTTTATCATTTTTTCCTTCTGATAAGTGATAGAATGATGACTTCGAATGGGTTGTAATAAAACCTGACGTATATGCGACTATAATGGATTTTTATAGTTCTGGACAACCTGTTGTCAATGAAGAAAACACACAAGATCTAAGTAAGATACCGCAATAGGTAATGATTTGATTGTCATTTTTTTCGACCTTTCAATTTTAAAATACTACAATCACTAAGTAATACCTTTTAGTTAGTTGTACTTTTGATAGTCTTAGTTGTTTTGATTATCGAAAGTTCTTAGATCCATATGGCTCCTACAAGGCAGTTTATTCATAACTGTTTTACAGTTAGCAACGTGACTTCCCCCTAATAATTACTTTTACTACCATCCGATAGTAACTCTAAAACTGTGGACTAAGGAGTGACGTCTTCAAATTTCACTTCATCTACTACTCTAATGATTGCCGCTTCTCGTTACTGGTTCCACAATGTTGATATTAACCAGTCCTAAGCCTTTTTTGTTGTAGGCTACCAAAAATAATAAAAGACAAGCAAATATTCATTTATCTTTTCAGTCTCCATGTCAGTAAAGCGTATTGTTTGTGTAGTCTATCTCAATCTGAGGAGCTTAGGATACAGAGAATGTCAAAGAAGCAGACTAACATAAGTGATTTTCAAAAAGCTAACACGAAGTTGTTGTAATAGGTCCCTAAACACTGTTTCTTATTGTTGGATTAGGTGATAATTTTTAGAAACCCTTTCTTTGCTACCTAATTTCAACTGAAGAAGCTTTTGTCGTCTTATTTTTTTACCACTTGATACTTACGCAAAGTGTTTCCTAGAAATCGTCCAATTATGTTTTGAACTATTAAATGATATACATAGAATTGCCTCGTTGTTGGAGATTTTGCCTTGGATAAACGATCTAGTTAATAAATCCAACGTAACTTATATGGTTCCTTGCATATTTTTTCACATTACTTACGCCTGTGACCCCGATCGGAGCAAAGGCGGCCGACCAGTATTCTCCAACCTACTCTGTCCTGGGCTTCCTTTTCCTCTTCACTTTTCTTATGTCTGTCTTGATTTCTCGGCGTAATGTGTTCCTTGGCCTTCCTGTTTCTCCTTTGCCCTTGAGGGTTCCAAGTGAGGACTTATCTTGTGACGCAGTTCGGTGCTTTCCTCAGAGTGTCTTGTCCACTTCCAGAGCTTCTTCCTGATTTCTTCCTCCATTGGAATCTGGTTTGTTCTTTCTCACAATAGTTTGTTGCTGATGGTGTCTGGCCAATGGAGACAACGTATTTTACGTGGACAACTGTTAATAAATATTTGTATTTTCTGGATGATGGCTTAACATTTGTATTGAAAATTGTGACTTTGGTGTTTGCTGACAGTTGTTTTGAGTTCCTGATGTTGTTCAGTTATCGAAATGCAGCCCTTCATTTACCGACCCGCGCCCTCACATCTACATCGGGTCCACCTTGATTGTCGATGTTGCTGCCCAGATACGTAAAGGTGTTAAATTCCTCCAAGGCATCTTCATCAATAGTGTTTTGGTTGACACATGTTGTGTTGTATCAGATAATCTCGCTTTTCCCTTGATGTATGTTGAGGCCTGCTGCTGCTACCCTGGTCGTCTTCTCTTGCATTTGTTGTTGTGTGTGCGATAGAAGGGCTAAATCATCTGCGAAGTCCAGATCGTCCAGCTGCATCCTGGCTGTCCATTGTATACCGTGCTTACCTCCAGATGTCGAGGTCTTCATAATCCAATCGATCATCAGGAGAAAAAGAAAGGGTGAGACTAAACAACCTTACCTTTACATTGCCTAGCCCCATATAGTTACTAAATACATTTGAAACCTATAGTTTTAGAAAAAACTGTTCGTCATACTGATTCCTTTATAAATATCATACAATATTTCAGTTTTTATCAGCTCTTTTTTCTGTTGACTGAACAAAGGTGTTTAGTCAGTTGTCATTGTACTCCCGGTCGGTGGCACAACTTTTAGGAAGTTAATTAGTAATTTACTCTACATTGTAACGAATTTTTCAAATGTATAAATTCAAGAGTTGAAATCCCAAAAGAAAGCCAATCTTGGTCAGTTACTATGACAGAATATCGTATACTACTTGAGTTCGTTGATATTAAATAGCTAGATATGTACGCTGTCCTTTATTGTAAGTTTAACAAATCATTCTTACAAAAAGTTGATATTATAGATTACATGTGTCCAAACTTTCAGCTATTTTCTTTGTCCAAATTCCCAAATGCGAAGTTAGTAGTTTCTAACACTCTCCAAACTGTACAATTTTTGGTCTTCACAAATATTTCTTATTTTTCAGCCTCAAGAAACTATTTGTCGCTCACATTTTAGTACGTATGGTTGCAGGATGTTGATTTCAGATACAGCGCTTTTGTAAGGAAACAACATAACTGTTAACTCGCCGTAACATTACTTTCCATATTTTGTAGCTGATGCAAAGTTGGCTTTTCCATTTTAGATAAAAACTGTGATGATGACGAAACCGTATTAATGATTAAAGAACTACTGGATACTCGAATAAGACCAACTGTTCAAGAAGACGGCGGTGATATTATTTTTAAGGTGATCTCATATTTCAGATATTCAAGTAGTATGGTATTCTCCGATTTTAGTTTAGATAATTATCTGCTTGGTATTTGTTTATGCATGTGATAGATGACTAATATTTCATTTAGCGTGGACTTTAGTAAATTTCTATTATACGCCGAGTTATTCGATTTTCTTCAATCAATTTGAAGAAAACCAAAGAAGCCAGGCCACTTATTTAACCTGACAACACTTATTTATTCATAACACTAAACATAATTTACTACACCGCCAATTTTGTCAGAGCACTCACTGACTTCGTCTAATATCCCACCTGGAAATTCACTTACTAACTAGAAAAACTCAGATAACAGTTCTGTATGATAAAAGCTGATACAATCCAACGTCTTATGAGCAAGGATGTTTATGGTCTATTTCCCCAATGATCTTTAAACAGCTGTACTGTAGTGAAGGAGAACACAGGTGAGGGCAACCGAATCGTATTTAACGAAAATTACAGAGTTACTCAGCAAAATCGGAAAACCATATCGTAACCGTTAATTTGCAAATCTTCAATTCATCATCAATCCATTGTCTGACATTTCACTATTCATGCGTTTCATACAAATTCCATTGTGTTCCCACTCTTCCTTTCTTGATCTTCCCCCATCTTCTGATACCAGACATTACGTTTGCACTCACGTCATATACTACTTATAAGTAGCGCGCACCACAGTACCACTTACATTGACTAATATACTAACTGCAGTCTTATATCTAAGTGTAATCCTATCTAACTACGGACTCCATCCTTGATCATTCCAGTCTTTAAGAATTATTATAACGATAACCACATAGTGATCGGTTTGATTAAAATGCTAGCCTGTATAATCATTTGATGTCTAAACGGAGCATGGAACACTGTAGATCTGATAGAAGGAAATCATTTTCAGACCTAATCGTCGATATATCGTGCAAATATTTGCCTTTCATCATGCTTTACAACGCAGAAATATATAATGACCCCAGAATTTATTTATATTTCTCCACTTAAAGGCAGGATTTCAGTAGGTTTGGTCGTAATCATTGTCACTACAGTAAGGTCTACCAGAAAAATTCAAATACTGTCAGAAGAGTATTTGATCAAATTCAAAGGTTTGTTTAGGCGGACTCATTCAAATGACGTAGTTCTGTTTTGTGAAGATCCTGCCAAATTACTGAGTAACAAACCCTGTTATTAGCGATGCAAACATGTTCGAAATGAAATCTTCTCCTCACAAATGTAAAATAATGCTTCAGGATTGATCTAAGTTGGCGCCTGAACTGATTATAGATAATAAATTAGCTGAACACGTTGATTACTTCATTTATCATAGATGCTTCATTATTCTTGGTGAGTAGGTGTCTTTCTATCTATCTGCTCGTCATGCCTACATTGTGTAATTTATTTTTCAGGATTTTAAAGATGGTATAGTGTACTTGAAGTTACAAGGATCTTGCTCAAGTTGTCCTAGCTCTGTGGTTACTTTAAGAAATGGTGTACAAAATATGCTCCAGTTTTATATACCAGACGTATTAGGAGTTGAACAGGTTGAAGATGAATTAGATGTGGTATCTAAAGAACAGTTTGAAAAATCAGAGAAGGAAATAAATGAAAAAAAATAAATGAATAATTCCATATGTAAACTAAATGACGGAATAGAATTTGTTTTCCGTCATGTGGTAAGTCACTCGTCAACATGAAATCATGTAAATACTGAGATTTGCTATAGTTTACTTAATAAAATATCAGTAATATAACTCAACTAACTTCGTTTTCATCCGTACCGTATCTTCGTGTCAACAGATTTGATAGTGAAAAAGCATGCTGTAGAACAACGGAATGAAAATCCAGTTAAGTAAAAATGAAGTTATTCAATGCATATCAGCTTTGTACGATAGAATCGCCCTACTTTTGAATCTATCAAGGTTTTGAATAAATATTGTTTTTCCCATGTCTCACTCCCAACAGTCAGTCAATCAGTCAGTCAGTCAGTTGCAACGTAGAACTTCGTACGTAAGTACATCAGTTAATGTCGCCATACCACATCAGCACAGAGATATAATTGTCAATTCAAATCCAATGGTAGAAGAGGTAGTAAGGGAATTAGAAGTAATCGGAGAGGTTAGAATTAGAAGATATTATTCACGAAGTATGATTCAATGAGATAGGTTTAGAAAGTAAAACCTAGAGGTGTTGAAGAACCCAGAAGATTAGGATTTGAGAGAACACAGAGAATAAATGCACTGGCGCCATTGCGAACGATTTTGAGCTATGTCATTCAAGGTCTCTAACCATCGATTATTATCATCTCGCGGACCCCAACCAGGTAGTCGACAATTACCGACATGGCTCAGTCCACTCGTCAATGACTTCATGGATTTATGCCATGTTTTGGTCCGGCCGCCCCTAACTTTCTTCAAACCTATTCCTACACCACAAAACAAAGCTCGACGAGGCAGTCGGTTGTTAGGCATATGTAACACGTGTCCCAACCACCTCAACTGATGAAGTTTCACCTCTTCATCGATTGATCTGCCATTCTTACCTAGTACCCGATTCCTAATAACAGCGTTGCTCACTCGGGTGTCCCACGATATACGAGCAATGCTTCGAAGACACCTATGATCGAAAACCAATAACCGACGAGTATCTTCTACTCTCATTGGCCATGTTTCACAGCCATAAAGTAAGACGGAGCGAACCACTGCGCAGTACACTCGTCCTTTAGTCAGCAAACGGATATATCGCCTACGCAATACGTGACGCAGGTTGGCAAAAGACAGTCGAGCCTTCTGTATCCGAGCTGAGATTTCGTCAGTCACCAGGCCATCAGCACTGATGAGACTCCCGAGATAAGTGAAGCGGTCTACACGATCGACCACTTCACTCCCTATCACTAGTTCAGGTACCGATGTAACCCAATCTTGAAGCATCATTTTGCATTTCGAGGGGGAAACCTACATCCCGAACATGTTTGCATTGTTGCTTAGGGTAGTCAGAAGACTCTTCATTTTGTCAGCGTCTTCACCAAGTAGGACTATGTCATCGGCATATTCTAAGTCAATAAGCGAGCCACTTGGTAGAAGGTCTACACCAGAAAATTCAGACGAGGATAAGGTTATTTCTAGGAGCATGTCTATGATAAAATTAAACAAGAATGGAGAGAGTGTACATCCCTGACGGACACCACTTGAAGTAGAGAATTCCGGTGACAGTTCGCCCTAAGCTCTCACTCGACCAGTGGTGTTTGAGTAGAGAGCTTGTATAAGGTTAATGTACTTATTTGGTACACCTTTCAATGACCGACACTGCCACAGAACCTCACGATCCACAGAGTCAAATGCCGCTTTCAGGTCCAGGAAAACAACTATTGTCGGACGCCTAAATGTGTGTCTGTGTTCCAGGACCTGTCGTAGTGTGAAGATGTGGTCTATTCAGCCACGTCCAGGTCGAAAACCAGCGTGGTTTTCTCGAGTTTGCTCTTCACGCGCTTTCGTTAAGCGTCGAAGTATTACTGAGGCCAATGTTTTAGATACTATATTAGTTAGACTTATTCCCCTGTGATTGTCATATGAAGACATTTGTCCTTTCTTATAGATTGGGACAATCAAGGATTGAGACCAGTCGGATGGGATTACGTCCAGTTCCCAGATTCTACCTAAGATCTCAGTCAACCTAGCTGCTAAAACTGAACCACCATCCTTAAATATCTCAGGGGTCAGTCTATCAGGACCTGCAGCTCGTCCACGTTTCAGATTTCCTAACACTTTTTCAACTTCATTAAGACTAGGGGGACTTAGGTCGATTTGCCATTCAGAATGACTGGAGATCGTGGGTATCCAAACATGTGCCCCAGAACGAGCGACAGTCCTCTATCGAACCCCTCCAGTAGTGGCTGATGGCGATGTGATCTAGTTGAGTCCAACGTTGAGACGACTTCGGGGGTCGCCAGGTCAACAGATGCTTTTCCTTATGCCTAATGTTGGTGTTCGCTAAGAATAGGCGGTTGTCTGAGCATACTTGCAACAGACGGTCACCATTGTCTGTTCTCTGAGACGCGACACCATAACATCCACCTAGGTGTCTTTCCTTTTCACCTAGTCTACCTACTTGAGCATTAAAGTCACCAGCCATTATTACTATATCAGAGCGCCTAGCTTTTTGGAGGAGGTCCGAAAGCTTTCTGTAAAACTCATCTTTAACTTCGTCTGAACTGCAGTCAGTGGGGGCGTAGGCAGATATGACGAAGAGGCAACGGCGATTGTCCCTATCCTTCCGAGTCCTTACTGTCCCGTTTAGTCGGACAGCGCACAAACGACTATCTACTGGGATGCAGTCAAGGATAGATAATTCTGCCCTAGGACTCAACGCTATGCCTACGCCAGCAAGACCCCTGGAAGCAGCATCAGGGCTACCGGATACACGAAGAGTGAATCGGGCTGCTTCTTCGTTTTGACAAGGTGGAATCAGGTTAATGACTTTACTAGGATCCTGTATGCGCGTTTCCGAGACGCAGCATACATCGATGGCACGAGTTTCTGAAGTCCTAGCTAATGATGCCTGTTGTCCTATTTGACACAATGTCCGTACATTAAAAGCTCCAACATGTAGTCTAGAACGGGGTTTCAAGAGACCAGGAACGACGTTTCGTGATCTCGCTTCGTCTGCATTAGCGGTGCAGTGACAAAAGGGAGTATGAGTAGAGTTAGTCGTAGAGATAAGAGAGACATTAGGGGGTGTAGGAAGGATTTGATTTTGACCAATTTGGTCTCGCGTGCTGTTACGGGTATGAGGGCGGTTGTCACTTCCCGGCTGCCCACACCGTGGAAGGTTGTTTCTTGAGGGACCTGAAAAGGAAGATAGATTAGTGTTGGTGCGTGACCGCAGAGTCCAAGGGACAACTGCTTCAGGCCGGTCACGCACGGCCTTTTTATGAAATGTTTTTTGAGGATTAGCTCCGTTCTTAAAGCCCTTAGTGGGCACCCTTACCGCCGGAGACGGAAATCCGTGAGTTAGGGGAGGTGTGACATTTTTAGGGCCGACCTTTTCTAACCCTTCCTTCCTTGTGAGAAGGCAGCATCGCTGCAGATGCTGGTTGTCTGAGGGAAACACCTTACTGCTGTCACACCCCTCTGCAGTCAGCAGTACGACTTCGCCCTCAGACCTTTGGTACCTGCTTTTAGTCTCATCGTTTTCCAATCGACTTGCCTGGCATGGTAGAACCTTGAGGAACATATGTTTCAGCCAGTATAGCTCGGTTGGGTCATCACGATAGGCAAGCCCGACCACCACGTCAAGGTAGCAGCTACGGTCGGGCTCACGCCCAACACTGAAATCACGAACCGACCTAATTTAGGTAACCATTAAAAACCAGGAATTGATGTTGATGGAGAAACGAAATATCTAAAAGCTTCAAATATAATCAAATTTTGTTCCATTTTTTACTGGGGAGAGTGATTACAACTAAAAACTTACATGCTAATACTTCAAGAATAATAAAATCAATACAATCAAAGTAAAAAGCAATTGATAATTACCTTGTTTTCTACATTTAATCAGTGTTTGATTGTTATGATTTTCGGAGAATTTGAGCTTTTTATTCCTATAATTATTAGGCCATTAAGAGTAAAGGATATTCGTAGGCTTTCGATCATAGGTGTCTTCGAAGCATTGCTCGAATATTGTGGGACCATGGAATAAGCAATGCTGTTGTTAGGAAACAGATACTAGTTAAGGATGGCAGATCAGTTGATGAAGTAGTGAATGTTTATCAGTTGGGATGACTCTGACATGTGTTACAAATGTCCAACTAACGACTGCCTCGTCGAGCTATGTTTTGTGGTGCTGAAGTAGGTTGGAAGAAAGCTAGGGGCGACCAGACCAAAACATGGCACAAAATCATTAAATCGCTCCCCAGTGGATTGAGCCATGTTAGTAGGTGTAGACTACCAGACTGGAGGTCCGCAAAACAATAGTTACCAATGGTTAGAGACCTTGAATGTCATGGCTCAAAATCGTCTGCAATGGTGCAGGTGCACTCATTATTTGTGTTCTCTCAAATTCTAATCTTCTGAATTCTTCATGTTTTTTTTTTCTCTTTTTAAATATGTGTTACTGGCTTGTATTCCTTGACTAATCTCTTCGAACCCTAATCTCCATTACCGCTAATTTTTCTACTGCTCTGGGCTTTGAATAGACAATTCGATCTCTCTACGCTAATATGCTATGGCAGTCTGAACTGATGTACGTACGTATGAAGTTGTACGTTGTAGCTAACTGACTGACTATAACTATTATCTTTAAGTGTTTTAAGAAGTCTTTCACCGACAAATTAGACAGTAAACCTTGTGGTGTCACTCATACAAACTTATCATGGCACTCAAAAAATCTGAGTATGACCTTTCATTTTTAAGTAACGTCAGCTTGTCTACTCCATCACAAAACTACTTATTTCAAGACATTAATATTCATCACTAGTCTGTAATCAATTTCGTAGTCTTCTGAATATACTATTGTATCGTAACACATCTTAACATAGTTTGGGTGATTATAATTCTAGGTACGCAATTCCACTCCCTGTTTAAGGTAACAAATGACTCACTTCAATTTCATAAGGATACAGTGTGTTCAGGTTCATCTGTAGTCTTAAAAGTTAAACATTAATTGGTAGGGCAATTGTTTTCTTCATAATATTGATATAAATGAGATTCCTGAACTAGTAGTTAAAATTCAGTAGACCATACTTTAAAAGATAAAACCGTTGGTTAGCTGCAGAGCCTATAGTTCTACACCAGTTGAGGCCCAATCTCTTCAAACATAAACAAATGTCCAGTCCCTTATTCTCCCATGATCTTAACT